AGTGAGTATTGGTCACCAAATCAGAGAGAAGAAAAACCCACTGGAGAGGAGCACTTGTAGCCAAGGTGTTTATTGCTCAACTGCTAGGCCTGGAACTGAGTCTAAATACTCACCAGATGTTCCATACAATGTATCAATATCATTATGCAAATAACTAAACTAAACGTCATAGCCTCAAATCATTACATCAATATACATCTAAAATCCTGTCTTCAAGGTTTTTTTAGGAGCAAGAAGGAAGAAGCACATCTTTTGATGATACAGTCAATTGTTTCTTAATTACTGACCAAATAAACTCTTTAATTTGTTAGTTGTCAGCTCCTTAATCCCATTTATTTCTATTTCTTTTTCACTATCAACATGGTAGATTTGACTGCATCAAGTCGTGACTTACATTCTGTCACGTAGATGAATTGTAACATATTGTACTCTGGTACATTATTGTTAAGTTCTGCAACCAAGTTTGAATACACATGCCTGCATCAATACCATCTACTTTCGCCACAGTTTGTCCAGCCAATGTACTGTGAACCACACGACATATTTTTTCTGGAATTCATATAACACATAGGAGAACATTTACCAGTTTTCCCAACGAGGTATATTAAGTATCCTCCCTGACTCCCTCCTAATGAGGGATCTTTGAATATGACTAATGATAAGTCGCCATCTCCATCACATTTTAGTCTCTGAATAACTTTGTTAGCTTCCAGTGTATGCTTAACTTTTCCATTACTACTATAAGCTGCTAAATTGCATGCATCATACAAAATATCGGGTGACCACGATGGGCAATCTATAAAATTTCACCAATTTTAAAACGTAATGATTCCTTTTTCAGATTAGTCAACAATGATTATTTTTGCATGGATCCACTCATATTTATCTGAATATGAGATTTTTATGAAGATATATTTTATCTTCTTTACTCGGAAAGTCAATTTCAACACGCAACTATCGTCCTTACCTAAGCAAAACTCAGAACGGACATGACTAATCACAGTAGTTTCAATTCTGGAATCCCACCCCATATAAAGTCATCTACATGGCTGGCTAAATAACAAATAACATTCCCATCCTCATTAACCCAGTAAACCACAGCAGGGTAAACTTGTTGCCCCAGAATCGATTTAACTTTGTAAATATATTGTAATGAAGCCTCTCCTAGTCCGCACACACTTCCGAAAAAGCAATTTCTTTCCTGGACATTTGGCTTCTCCAGGTGGCTGAACAAAAATTCTCTGTCTAATTATGCGTCTTTTGTCTCTCAACTATGGATTTCTGCTAGGTTTGCATCTCTCATAGAATATCGTCATGACATTGTCTGCATGATTGTCTGCAAACTCAGAAGGACTTATATTTATTTACATTGTATATTGTATTGAATGTTTGTAAACTGAAATAAACTCGATTTCAGCAAAAAGATCACGACTAACATTTTGTTGTTTAGTTGTCCACTGTATGACACCCATGTATTGAAGATAACCGTGCACTATGAGACAACCCGAAGTGGTGTAACTATCATAATGTTTTGTTATCGTTAGTGGCCTAAAAGAAGAAAAACACACTGATACAAAGTTGTTTCATTCAAAATCAATTAAATTTAAATCCTGTAAGGTAATTGAAGATAAAAAAAAATAATTATCAAATTTAGTTTTCAAGATATTGCACACTTTTAGGGCGTATTACAATGAACAAGAAATTAGACCAACGCCACGATTCTAGTCATTCTATCATTCGGGTGCTTAGAAAATTGCAAAATAGATTAAAAAAAATATGATATAGTAATGTAAGCATGAATATAATACTACAGGCCGTTTCTGTTGATGCAACCTCTGTCCCAAACTTTTAAGCCTTGAAAATAAATTAAAGTACAGACGTTTATGTGTAACCATAACCTGTGCTATATTTAGCACACTTAATGTACAAATACTGTCGTTCTTCTAAAAAAACATTGCGCAAGTAAAAAATCAGTTTTTTTTTTATATAGATAGGCTTGGAACGCATTTAAATATACGGAGACGCCGTGTTAATTTCTATTTCACTGTAGTCTTTGACGTTTCATAGATCTTCACTATCACAACACGTATAGCAACAAGGGGAATCTATATAGGATTACAACTACATACATAATCAACGATGGAGTGGCGCGACAGGATTCTCACTGGAATTTTACATCCGTTGTATGACGTCACTTGAATACGAGTCTAAATCGGTTTATAAATAAAAAATGTCAGCGACCCTTTTTTGATGAACACAACGAGTGCATTCCGTGTAGTAGTTTCATGAAAGGCACGTGACCTAGGTGATATGAACTATTCTCACCTGTTTCAAAGTCAATGACGCACCCTGCTAGTCAGGAACTGCTTTCAATGCAATGTTGTACAACAGCGGTCAAGTCTCAGTTAAGTTCGACAACAATCCAGCAGACATCGTTCATGATTTGTAAAAAATTGACTTTTTGAAACACGGGAGGGTGCTAATGTGTGTGAGAAAGTTCTGAGCAAGATACATTTGTTTTCAATTGTGGCACGGCTAGTGTAGTTGTAGCCGGCATGAGAACAGAACTTATCCCACAAGCAGGGATTTCTTGATAGGTACATGTCAATTCAAACACTGACAGAAGCACCGAAGCCAGTGTTTCCATTCAGAAGCGATTGAGATCCACAAGCCTGTTCAGGCGACTGAGGTCTAGGACAGGATGCCACCCTGACCACTTTGGAACGAGGAAGATGTGGAAATAGAACCCTGGGGGTTCTCCAGAGAGGCTGGCTACTTCCTGCCGGATCGTCTTCGCCTTGACCTCGTCCCTCGACAGAAGACCAGAGGGAGGATGAGGAGTCAGAGGAGGAGACTGGGGAGGAATCTGATACCCCTGAGACACTACTGCAGGCATCCATCGGAAACCCTCCTGCACCAAGCTGTTGTGTGCTGCTTGAGACGGGATCTGACGGGAACAGACAAGGAGCAGACAAGGGTTCAGAGCTAGAGCTCCCTGAACACCAGCCTACAGTGCAGGAGGACGAAGACGGAGTTGTACAACCATCCATGTACTGCCTCTCGCTCGACTGAAACCGCTCCTGCCATGAGGGCAGTATGGAGTTGCAGGACGTCGCACATAGTGAATCTCTGCACAACCAAAAACTGGTCCATCTGCCCAAGGATCGTGGTCCGTTGCTGAGCTGATGCCCCAAAGCCAAGGAAACTTATTCCATAAAGTTGGTGGCCTGCAGCAACATGGCCTTCCCAATCCTTGTCACCCGTCTTAACAAAGACATGTGTATCTGGATCGGGCAGGGAACCCGTGGAGGAGGCTGTGGCATCGAAAGCGTATCCCAAACCAGGAACTCATTGACAGTGTGCATAGCCCCAATGGAAGGCATAAGACAGGACCGATCCAAAACCAGGATCAACATTTTTGTCCTTGTCTCCCAAAGAGTACCAATCACCACCCTCCATCGCCCTCTGATCCCCCTCCACAGCCTGGGTCACATGAGGCACCCATGGGAGTTTGCCAGAAAGGCATAGTCTCCACGCCAACAGTGGAAGAGAAGAGCGCCAATGAAAAGGGATTCAAAGGCGTTCCCCAATCAGGGTAGGTGGGATCATCACTGGCCCCGCACGAAACAAAAGTCTTGTGCCAAGCACTGGCTGGTTTACAAGCTGGGTCCTTAACTGCATATTGATAAGAGATGTCTGGGCCCCAGTTGACTGGGTAGCCTGTGCTTGTCCTGACAAGGAGATGACAAAATGCTCACCGCTCCCTGCTGAGAGTGTAGTAGCTGTGCCCGCCAGGGGCACTGCGTACCACCCAACACAGGGGTACCAACACTGGAGCCCCCCTCTTGGAGGAACAAGTAGGGGCGATCTGTGCAGCTTGGTGAAGCAGAGGCAACAAGGCCTGCTTACACCCGGCCTGAGGGAAACTGGGTGGACAACACATAAAGAACCCCTGTCCAGAAGGGGGTCCACCTCCATAGGAGAGGTAGACGCCCCCTGTCCCACGGATGTGAGTTGTCCCCCCTCTGATCCTCTCAGGGGAGATCAAAGGAAGGATGGGATACATCAGATACAAAGCCTGGCAGAGGGGGGGGGGGCAGCACAGCCGGTCCCCTTTTCACCTGATTCTCACCCCTGGTCCTCCTGCCTTGTACCCCTAGACTGCACGATGGAATCCACTTTGGCAGCTAAGCTAAGCAGCAAAGCCTTCCAAGCAGACTCATCACAATGGGAAGAGCCTTTTTCACCCTGTCTAACATTGGTAAGGGAAGACGATGAGGTCTGTCCCTGTACTTGCACAATCAACCCGGGTTGCATAAGTTTCAGTGGATTGGAACTGCTCAGCCTCTCTACCGTTGCCACCACCGTACTCGCCATCATTGTCAGTGTCATAGCAGGAACATGCTGTATCCCAGTGTCGGTACCAGCAATGGTTGGCAGTTTCGTTCCCACGGCAAAAGTGGTGGAGCAGGGTGTGCTCAACTCGGCACTACCGAACAGGGGAACTAACCCAGTGATGGGAGAAAGTCCCGCCGCCGGCACCTCCGAGACAGCGACCGACCCCTTTGCCACCTCAGAGGTGGGCAGTTACCTCAGTCGTCGAGCCCGCCACATTGAGCAGGGAGTCAGACCGTGGCAACTGTTGGTCTCCCTCAGCTACCAAGGGGAGGAAGAGAGTTTTCACTCATTGAATCAGACACATCGCTAGCTGTGACTGGGGACTTCCCCTGTTTAGAGTGACACTTACCAGCTTTATACGATCGCTTGCCCTCAGCTTTCAACCCCACCTCAAAGTACTTGCACAGATCGCAAATTCTCTTGAGGCAAAATTTACAACCACAGCATGAGTGGCAACACATGTGTGGGTCCGAAACTGGCATCTCTAAGTGGCAAAGTGAACATATCTTATGCGCTGATGGGATAGTAGGTCTTTTTAAATGACTTAGGCATGATGCAATCCAAGAAAAGACAAGAAATGAGAAAAACAAGAAAATTCACTCAGCCTAAAACGAAAATCAAGGCAGAATCAAACTGAGCAGGCAAGATCTGGGGCTCTTTTAATGGAAAGCCCTTACCTTAATGTAGAAACTGATATTGTCAAACGTCAAAGAACACTAGATTTCTAGGAAGCTGAGAATACACGTAAACTGCCTCCTTTGTTCAGCCAAAACAGCCAGCTGAAAAATGTCCCTGTTGGCTGTACCCGTAACAAAAGAGAATTGAGACAAAATTGACCTTGACAGCATGGTCGCCCTGGGGGGGGGGGGGGTTTGCTTAGTCAGGGCTTTTTTCTTAGAGAATTGTTACCCTGAGGTGTTCCTTTTGGACCAGGTATATTCTCTAATAGTTTATGTCTAGGCTCAGTAATAAATGAAATTTATTATTTCCACGGATTTCCGGTAGGTGATGTAGTAAACATACATGTACCGGTATATACCAATTGTAGGCATATTACAAACATGTGCAACTCTGATTAAAATTCATGTGACAAAGTGCCTTATAACTGTACACAGACACAAACCTTAATATGTCACACTGAAAAACACGTACAATGACTAGATTGGCATGCCTAAGACCAATCTTTGACATTACAAACAACATCCAGAATACATATAAAGTATTTCATGGTAAGAACAACCAACACGTGGAATAAGTGCATTACAATATACTAGCCCAATCAATATTGCACATACTACAATACCATCATAATGATAGTGTCCCTGTAATGTTTGAATTGTCCGTGCAAATTACTACTTATTATTCTCAATGTAGTCTTTTGAAGACACTAATCACAACATAATTATAATAATGAATGCTCTTTCATATACACACTGCACACAATAAAAACATGACATCCAGTTGACTGTATACACTATCATATTCATTACCAATGTTTATTGAAATGAATCAAAACAATATATCGAGAATAAATATATAAAAATGTTTTTCAGAGAAAAAATAATTTTCAGCATTTTCACAAGATATATGAACACTTTAGATTCAATTATCTGCCGGGACTTCACAATAAGGGTCAATGTATTTGAGATACACCAATTGTGATAATGAATGTATTCATTATAAACAATATATTCATATAATGCTTGTATTTTATGACATACAAATATGTGTGATGTCCAGCAAATGTACGAGTACACTTGATTTAGGCAGGACTTGGTAAAAAAGTGAATAGCATATGTTCACTAGTTGAGAGCAGCCATCAAAAGTTCAATTTTATTGACAAGATTTCTTCCTTTCATTCTATCCATGTCAACCTCTTTAAAGTAACCACCAAGATTGTCCCACTTTGGATCCACGATGACATCACTCCTAGATTCGGTACCATTTTGTTGGTTTTTAGGTATTTGTACTGCAACTCTTACACCACTGTTTGGTCCATTCCTTATAGCAAGTACCCTGAAAATAATACAAATCAACTGTGATATCATGTTCAAATATGATCAGACATACATCATTGTGGAGAGTGACTGTGATATCATATTCAAATATCCTACTCTATGATCAGACATATACCAATGTGGAGAGTGACTGTGATATCATGTTCACATATCCTACTCTATGATCAGATATACATCAATGTGGAAAGTGACTGTGACAGCATGTTCACATATTCTACTCTATGATCAGACATACATCAATGTGGAGAGTGACTGTGATAGCATGTTCACATATTCTACTTTATGATCAGACATATATCAATGTGGAAAGTGACTGTGATAGCATGTTCACATATCCTACTGTATGATCAGACATATATTGTACATCAATGTGGAGAGTGACTGTGATAGCATGTTCACATATCCTACTCTATGATCAGACATACATCAATGTGGAGAGTGACTGTGATAGCATGTTCACATATCCTACTCTATGATCAGACATACATCAATGTGGAGAGTGACTGTGATAGCATGTTCACATATCCTACTCTATGATCAGACATACATCAATGTGGAAAGTGACTGTGATAGTATGTTCACATATTCTACTTTATGATCAGACATACATCAATGTGGAGTGCGACTGAGATAGCATGTTCACATATCCTACTCTATGATCAGACATACATCAATGTGGAGAGTGACTGTGATAGCATGTTCACATATCCTACTCTATGATCAGACATACATGTACATCAATGTGGAAAGTGACTGTGACAGCATGTTCACATATGCTACTTTATGATCAGACATATATCAATGTGGAAAGTGACTGTGATAGCATGTTCACATATTCTACTTTATGATCAGACATATATCAATGTGGAAAGTGACTGTGATAGCATGTTCACATATCCTACTGTATGATCAGACATACATTGTACATCAATGTGGAGAGTGACTGTGATAGCATGTTCACATATCCTACTCTATGATCAGACATACATGTACATCAATGTGGAAAGTGACTGTGACAGCATGTTCACATATGCTACTTTATGATCAGACATATATCAATGTGGAAAGTGACTGTGATAGCATGTTCACATATCCAACTGTATGATCAAATAGCCATTTTACTGTTTCGCCCCTTACCTTTCTCCGGTTGGTGAAATCATCATTATGCCGGCTGCGTTGCCTATTTTCTCCATATGTCCCACACCAAGGTGTGTACTACTCTGCAATACTTGCCACCCCATCACTTTGGATAATGCCTGAATACTGGTAATTTGGTGCTGTGTGATCTGAAATTCAAAATGATATACAGTTATTACAGATTGAAATAGCTTTGTTAATTATTTCATATACACAATATTCAGACTAAGAACAAAATCCCCATATAAATGAAAATATCAAAAATTTATTTATTTTGCAAAAACTGTTATTCTCCGTCAATATAATGGTGTTGATTTAAAGAAAGTTTTGGGTCTATTTTTTGAGAAAATGAGGTTTATATTTCAATGAATGGTGTTTTGTCAGAAGCTTTAACCTTAGACTTAAACCATATCTCAGATTGTTGGCTGGTGACACAAATTGTATATCGTAAATAGTGTACTTTTTATTTCAAAAGGCTGTTACAGTATTTTATAATAAAACAAATATGGTTTCATGTAACCATAGAACTATAGCCCAATAAATGAATATATATTCTTCAAATATGATTCTTTTTGCAGATGACTCCAAAATTTACAGAGATGTTAATTCTATGACTGATGCATTGCTATTCCAAAAAGTCCTGGATAGGGTGGTTGCATGGTGTTCAAAATGGCATTTAAAGCTTAACATAGAAAAATGTTTGGTTACAATTATGTAATTAGAGATTCCAGTTTGAAGCGAGAGACATCGGTCAAAGATCTGGGTATTGAGCTTGATGACTCTGAAATTTTCCAACCATATCAATATTATTGTTAAACAAGCAGCCTATCGGCAGAGATAGCTCCGCTGTTCGCAATGCAAATTTCATTAAAGACTG